CAACCCTGCCGCTGCCTCTGGCATTTCCAACCGGGCCCACCACCGCCGCCGCTGCTGCGCCGACAGCCACCACCCCCCGCCGCACCCCCACCCCCCCCCCACCACCACCACAACGACGACGACGACCACCACCACCACTACTAGAATAGGGGACGTGCCATAGAATAGGGCAATCATATGCCCTCCTTCCCCTGTATGTGCCGAATTGTAGTTAAATGGGGAATATTTCTTCCCATAATCTGACCTTCTTGGGTTCAATTCCTAATGGTGCCTTGGGGGTAGGGTTTCCAGCGAGCTGCGGATTGCCCGTGCACCTCCCACCCCCTGGGGGAAACCGGAGCTTCGTGGGGGCTGGGCTGGCTCTGGTGGGGCGGGGCCTGCAGGGGCTGGGCGCGGCCCTGAGGCAGGCGCGGGGCCACGCATCTGGAAGCGGAAGCGGGGGCAACGCAAACAAAAGACAAAAAACCATCGAACAGCCGGGCTTGTAAGACCACGCCCGGCATCATTGTCGTCATGTCCGTCATCACCATCATCGGCAACATCAGTATCAACATCATCATCGTCCTCACCATCAGCATCGTCGTCATTATCGCAATCATCATCATCGTCAACATCATCATCACCATCAGCATCGTCACCATCTTCACCACCGTCAGCAGCATCATCATCACCATCACCATCATCAGCATCATCATCATCAGCAGCATCATCATCAACAGCAACATCAGCATCAGCATCAACATTATCACCATCATAATCATCGTCATCAACATCATCACCAACATCATCCGCTTTTCCCTCGCCGTCCATCGTCTTTGCCCTCACTTCTCCTTCCCTCCCTCTCTCCCCCTCCCTCCTCCCAGGCCGCATTCATGCCCTTCCGCCTCCCCCCCTCCCCCCCAATTCTGACGCGAGGAGAGGGAGGATGGATTCGCACACAGCAGGCTCCCGCGGTGGCGTCATCGAGTCTGACTGTGACACCGCGTGAGTCGTTCAACCTGGAACGATCTGCTCTCTCCGAGGTTCCCGGAGGCTGTCCAGCCGATCAGTCTCATCGACTTCGCGCCGTGGGCTGTTTTCTGCGGGCCCTCGGGCCCGAAACGGACCCCTGGAAGGTGTTCAACCTTGAACGCCCGGGCTGAAGTCGCCGCCGTGTCGAGGCGGCACGAGTCTACGTAAATACCCTGCGCCCCCATGCCTCCTCACCCCATCAGCCGTGCATTCCTGAGCACGAGCGCGAACCTTTTGAATATGTTTGAATACACCCGGTAACCGCTGGATTCCGTAGCAGAGCCTGGACTCCAGGATCCAGGTCCTGCTGCGCCGAGCTGCAGACAAAAAACGAGATGGGGTGCCGTCCAAATATGCTTACGGCCAGGAGCTTGTGCTTAGCGTGTCGCGGCGTCGACCCAGGTGACACGCTATGTCCTGCAAGCGGATAGCGTGTCCCGCCCGAGGCGTGATGGGCCAGAACGGGCGGCGCGACACGCTAAGCCAAAGTTCCTGACCGTACTGCCGCCCCTGGCAAACAAGTGGGTCCAATGCGAGACTCTGATGCAGCCAGAACGCACGCTTGGGCGCAGGAAGGAATGCGGAGAGGGCCGAGAGAAACGGGGATGCACCAGGTGTTCCTCCTGCTCCTCCTCTTCCTCCTCGTCCTCCTCTTCCTCCTCGTCCTCCTCTTCCTCCTCTTCCTCTTCCTCCTTCTCCTCCTCCTCCTCCTCCTCCTCCTCATCATCATCATCATCATCATCCTCCTGCTCTTCCTCCTCCTCCGCCCTCCTCCTCCTCCTCCTCCTCCTCCTCCTCCTCCACATCCACCCTCTCCTCGTCCTCCTCCTCGTCCTCCTCCTCCTCCTCCTCCTCCTCCTCCTCCTCCTCCTACTCATCGTCCTCCTCCTACTCATCGTCCTCCTACTCATCGTCCTCCTCCACCCTCCTCCGGGTTATCCTCCTCCTCCTCCTCCTCCTCCTCATCCTCCTTCTCCTCATTATCCTCCCTCCTCCCGGTCCTTCTCCTTATCCTCCTCCTTCCCTACTGACCTCCGCCTCCACCTTCCCCCACCTTCCTCCGCCACCTTCGCCTCCGCCCCCTCCTCCTCCACCACCCTTCTCCCGTCCTTTTCGCCTCCCCATCGCTCCTGCCCTGCGCCATGTCGTCCAGAAACTTCTTGTTCAACGGGTCCGACAACGGGCGGAAGGGACCGTCGCCAACCGTGAAGCCTGTGGAGGGGGCGGAGCACTCCAAGCGGCGAGCCTGGACCCTGAATCGAAGGAAAGCAACCACTCCTTCGCTCTCTCTCTCTCTCTCTCTCTCTCTCTCTTCCTTTCCCTCTACCGCCTCCTTATTCTCCCTCCTTCCTATCCTCACTCCTCCATTTTCTCCCTCCCCCCGACCCTCCCGTTCTCCTGCATCGGAATCGGCGGGGAGCGGTCAGGAGCTGGCATGCATCAGAATCGGCAGGCGTCGGCGGCTGGGCCGAGGCCAGATCGGGTCGGAACTGGCGGGGCTGACGCTACATCGGCATCGGAATCGTAAGAGGGCGTCCCGCTCACCAGACTGAATCCGATCAGAGTCGGTCCCCAAAACTTCACGAGGTCTGTCGTGGCAAGCTTTCCACACTGGGTCGATCTCTGTTGGCCCCGCGGCCCGCAGCGAGCACCAAGATGCCGAAGCTGCTGCTCCTCCTCCTCCTCCTCCTCCTCCTCCTCCTCCTCCTCCTCCTCCTCCTCCTCTTCCTCCTCGTTTTCCTCCTCCTGCTGCTCCTCCTCCTCCTTCACCCTCGTCCCCCTACTCCACTCCCCTCGAAAATCCGCCCAAGGGGTGCGCTCTGGGGACAATTCGACTGCAACCCAGCCGTGGCGACGAGAGGCCTCATGTGTGGCCAAGGAAAAAACAGTCAAAAGCCTGGATCCTGATCCTCCTCCTCCTCCTTCCTCCTTCCTCCTTCCTCCCTCCTCCTCCTCCTCCTCCTCCTCCTCCTCTCCTCCTCCTCCACCTCCTCTTCCTCCTCGTTTTCCTCCTCCTGCTGCTCCTCCTCCTCCTTCACCCTCGTCCCCCTACTCCTCCACTCCCCTCGAAAATCCGCCCAAGGGGTGCGCTCTGGGGACAATTCGACTGCAACCCAGCCGTGGCGACGAGAGGCCTCATGTGTGGCCAAGGAAAAAAAACAGTCAAAAGCCTGGATCCTGATCCTCCTCCTCCTCCTCCTCCTTCCTGCTTCCTCCTTCCTCATTCCTCCCTCCTCCTCCTCCTCCTCCTCCTCCTCCACCTCCTCTTCCTCCTCGTTTTCCTCCTCCTGCTGCTCCTCCTCCTCCTTCACCCTCGTCCCCCTACTCCACTCCCCTCGAAAATCCGCCCAAGGGGTGCGCTCTGGGGACAATTCGACTGCAACCCAGCCGTGGCGACGAGAGGCCTCATGTGTGGCCAAGGAAAAAAACAGTCGAAAGCCTGGATCCTGATCTTCCTCCTCCTCCTTCCTCCTTCCTCCTTCCTCCTTCATCCCTCCTCCTCCTCCTCCTCATCCTCATCCCCTTCCATGCCCCCGGGGGCGGTCTGGGGGGTCTGAACCGGATGGGGCCTCTGAAAATTGATCAGGAGGGGAGACGAAGCCAGAGCCGCTCGAAATCGGTCCCTGGACCCCTCTGGTCAAGCTGGTGCAATATTTCGTCCCGGATTCGCTTTTGATGGTCCTGGGGGCCGAAAACGGCCCACAGAGGCCGAAAAGGGCAGACTACTTCCCCGACCACAGAATACTTCAGACCCCCAGCCGACTCCAACCTCCTCGATCCTTGGACCTCCTTCGGGCGTTACATAATGGGCGGGGGGGCGATACGTAAGTGGGGGGGAGAAAGGTGCACCTTTCGTGCCCTCGAGGGGCATCCTGCCCTGGGGCCCATAAGGGGCACGAAAGGTGTACGTTTCCCCCTCCATCTCCTGCTCCTCATCCTCCTCCTCCACCTCCTCCTCCTTCTTCTACTCCTCATCGGCCTCGTCCTCGGCCTCATCTTCCTCCTTCTCCTCCTCCTCTTCCTCTTCCTCCTCCTCTTCCTCCTCCTCCTCCTCCTCCTCCTGTTGCTCCTGTTGCTCCTCCTCCTCCTCCTCCTCCTCCTCCTCCTCCTCCTCCTCCTCCACCCCCTCCTCCTCCTCCTCCTCCTCCCCCTCCATCTGTTGCACCCCCGGACACTCCCCCCCGGGGAGGCCGTCGCGGTACACGGTCACGACCACGTGGTTCTCGGGCAGCGGGCCCGAGCTGCCGGCGCCCGCGCTCGCAAGCTGCTGCATCTTCTTCCACGCGTCCTCGTCGCCCGGGTTCTGGACCGCCATGCCACTCCCACGTTCCGGACCGCCTTGGGAGGAGGAAGAGGAAGAAGAGGAGGAGGAGGAGGAGGAGGAGTGGGATGATGATGATGATGATGATGATGATGATGATGATGATGATGATGATGATGATGATGACGATGACGATGACGATGACGATGACGATGACGATGACGATGACGATGACGATGATGATGATGATGATGATGATGATGATGATGATGATGATTGTGAGAGGAGGAGGAGGAGGAGAAGGAGGAGGAGAAGGAAGAGGAGGACGACGATAATTTTGGTGGTGATGATGATGGTGATGATGAGGATGATGAAGATATTGATGGTGATGACGATGATAATTAGGGTGATCCTGATGATGATGCTGATGATGATGCTGATGATTATTGTGATGATGATGTTGACGATGGTGATGACGACGATGATGACGCTGATGATAATAACGATGATGGTGATGATAATGATGCTGAGACTGATGCTGACGATGAAGAAGACAATGATGATGCTTATGATGATGCTGACGGCGATGATGATGACGATGATAATGATGACGATGGTGATACTGATAATGATGCTGACGATGATGAAGACGATGATGCTGATTTTGATTATGATGATGATGCTGCTGATGATGATGATGATGATGCTGACGATGATGGTGATGCTGAATATGATGCTGACGACGATGATGATGACGATGATGATGATAATGATAATAAGAATGATGATGATGTGTATAATGACGATGATGCTGACGTTGATGCTGATGATGATGATGATGATGATGCTGACGATGATGCTGACGACGCCGATGACGATGATACTGATGATGATGATTATGCTGGCGATGATGAGCATAATGATGGTGATGATGCTGACGAAGGTGTTCATGATGATGACGACGATGATGATTCTGATGGTGCTGACGATGATGAGGAAAATACTGACGCTGACAATGATGATGGTGATCATGAGGATGATGATGTTGATAATGATGATGCTGACGATGACGATGATGTTGATGGTGATCATGATGATGGTGATGCTGATTCTGATTATGATGAGGATGCTGATGATGCTGACGATGATGACGATGGTGCTGATGATGATCATGCTGATGATGGTGATGATGATGGTGATGGGATGATGCTTCTAATGATGAAGATGAGGATGAGGGTGAGGGTGAGGGTGAGGATGAGGATGAGGATGAGGATGAGGATGAGGACGAGGATGAGGATGAGGATGAGGATGAGGATGAGGATGAGGATGAGGATGAGGATGAGGATGACGATGATGACGATGATGATGATGATGATGATGATGATGATGATGATGATGACGAGAGGAGGAGGAGGAGGAGGAGGAGGAGGAGGAGGAGGAGGAAGAGGAGGAAAGGGAAACGGAGAAGAAGACGGAGGAGGAGGAGGAGGAGGAGGAGGAGGAGGAAATGGAGGAAGAGGATGAAGAGCCCGCTCATGGAATTCTGGCCCACGCACTAAAAAAAAACACTCGCACGATTTCTCCGAAACCGTCACCAAACCGAACGTGTGTATGTCACTGCTTCGGTCTCGCCAAGCGTCCCACAAACGTGTCATGTTGCGTGCCACATCGTCTCGACAGACTCCATCTCCAGCCGCACGAATCGTGCACCGTCCTCCCGCGCGTGCTGCACTGCTTTGCGGCCTGCCACGGTCGTAGGCCACCTTCGATAACCGCGCTGACAGAGGACCGGGTTCGCAGCGCTTGTGGAGCCATTGACACACAGAGTCTTCACCCAATCGATGAACGTCGCTTTGCGAAGCTCCTTCGAGCACCCAGCCGCGCACTTGGCGAACTCGGCGCTGGAGGCGCTCAAGGTAAGCACCTCGACGCCGCCAGCGACGGAGATGATTGGCGTCGACCACATTCTGCCAGCCGCGCTGAGGAGCATGCCGTACGTCGACAAAATGTTGCACCACTTCAGGGGGGGCCCAAATTGGTTCTTGAACACCCCGTCCGCCCCCCATCTAGTATTGGTGCCATGCAGTGAGGAGCCGCCCGGGACTTTCCAGGCGATCGACAACATGTTGCACTACCGCGCTGCTGCTTCGGCGACCCCTGGACCGCAGCCAATATTAGATGCGGGGTGGGGGGATGAGATGGCAACATCGATTTGAAAACGATGTCCGCTGTCTTCGGCACCAAGTGGTGCAACATTTTGTCGATGTGCCGTGCCATCCCTGCCGAGGCTAGCCATGCCGCCGCCCCCTGCGCGAGCGCCGCGACCGCGCGCGCCGCGGCGCTTTACAGTCTGGATGTCGGTGCAGAAACAGCTACTGCGCAATCCATGATGCGAGCTGCAGCTGGTCCTGGGTCGGGCATGTCATCCTACAGGCGGATTTTGGACGAGAAATGAACAAGTGTCAAAAAATGATCAACACGCGAGTCAAAAATAGTCCAAAAATCGTCTCCAGACTATTGTTTGACTATTTTGGAAGGGACGAGCCAGACTCAAAGTTTGTCCAGTTTGGGATGGCAACTGCGGGTCGGCATTTTGGCATCCTGGACTGGCCCCGATGGGCTCTGTAATGGCGGTACACTAAGAGACATTCTTGGACCGTCTGTGCAATAGTATGCGCGAGAAAACAAGACGCTGACCACATCGCGCCATTGGCGCCAAGTCTGCGGCTTTCGCACCATGGGGACTGACTGTCGCGATGCACCTCGCGGCTGAGTCAATCCAGCACACGGTCACGCTGAAGACGTCGAACAACCTGGTACCCGCCTGCGGCCAGCGTTTTCTAATTGTGTAAAAATCCATTCAAAAGGAGCGTTCCCTGCATAGTCAACTTCGCCGGTCACGCAGCCCGCCCAGCCGCCCCCCGCGCCGTCCGTTCCGGGCTCTCGAGCAGCGCACGAATGCCCGCTGCGTTGCCGCTTCCGCGCGCGGCCGCCGCCCGCAGCCGCCGAGCGGGCCGCCTGCCGACGCGCCAAGCCAGCGCGACCGAGCCGCAAGGCCGCTTCCTCCGAGGCGAAGCCGTGCGAGGCGAACACCTGCGCGGGCGCTGCGGAAGCCCCGGTTCCTGAAGCCCCAGCTCCCTGCTGCCCAGCCACCTCAGCGCCAGCCGCCGCCGGCAGCCGAGCCTGGCGGCCCCAGAGGAACCGAGCGGGGAGCATGGCAGGGCGCCACTCCAGGCCTGCTAAGGAAGCCGCTGGGGTCTTGGGTGTTGCCGCCGGGCCCCCCAGGGCTTCCTCGAAGTCGGGCCACTCTCCCAAGCCTATGACGCGGCCAGCGTCTTGATACCCACGTCGCCCACCGCGAAGTCGCCAGCGACCAGCGTCATCTCTGTGCCGCGCTGGGGGTAGGTGGCGACATCCGAACCCTACCACCGCCAACCATCGCGAGGGTAGTGTTCGGATTTCGCCACGTGCTCGAGGAATTCCGAACCGCACCCACGCCGCCCATCGAGTTGCCTGAATCGTTGATCGGCGAGGGTGGGGTTCGGATTTCGCCGCCGACCCCTCGGTCTCTGCGGCGACCCAAGCGGGCATGGGGTCGAACGCCGCCGCCGCCGCCGCCGCCGCCATCGCCGCGGTTGCGCCCGTCTCGACCACGGCCGCCGAAACCGCGCCAGGGGCGGCTGCCGCGGCAGAGGCGCACCGAGGCCAGGGCGCCCTGAAGGCACTCCCGGGGCGGCCGGCTCCTGCAGCCGCCGCGCCCGCCGCCGCGAGCGCTGGAGGGGATGACCCCTGCGATTGGAGGAGCCGGCGCACCTCCTCCCTCCCCCTCCTCCTCCTCCTCCTCCTCCTCCTCCTCCTCCTTCTCCTCCTCCTCCTCCTCCTCCTCCTCCTCCTCCTCCTCCTCCTCCTCCTCCTCCTCCTCCTCCTCTCTCCTCCTCCTCCTCCTCCTCCTCCTCCTCCTCCTCCTCCTCCTCCTCCTCCCTCCTCCTCCTCCTCCTCCTCCTCCTCCTCCTCCTCCTCCTCCTCCTCCTCCTCCTCCCCTCCTCCTCCTCCTCCTCCTCTCCTCCTCCTTCCTCCTCCTCCTCCTCCTCCTCCTCCTCCTCCTCCTCCTCCTCCTCCTCCTCCCTGTTCCTCCTCCTCCTCCTCCTCCTCCTCCTCCTCCTCCTCCTCCTCCTCCCCCTCCTCCTCCTCCCTCCTCCTCCTCCTCCTCCTCCTCCTCCTCCTCCTCCTCCTGCTCCTGCTCCTGCTCCTCTTCCTCCTCCTCCTCGTCTCTCGTCCTCCCTCGTCCTCGTCCTCGTCCTCTCCTCCTCCTCCTCCTCCTCCTCCTCCTCCTCCTCCTCCTCCTCCTCCTCCTCCTCCTCCTCCTCCTCCTCCTCACCCCCCTCCTCCTCTCGGGCTGTTGGCGGCGTTGGCGCGCTGCCCCCGCAACCGGGGGGGCAGTGCGCCAGCGTGCCAGCAACCCGACCGCGGGCGAACAGGGGCCACCTCGGGACGCCATAGCGCATGGTCAAGAAGGGGCCACCTCGCGTCACCAGAGCAGATGGCCCACGAGAGGGGGCCACCTCGCGTCGCCAACGCTGCCAGCAGCCCGACCGCGGTCGAGCCGCTCCTCCATCGCAGCTGCGCTGGCGCCAGGTACCGGATTCCTCTCGCAGCCCATCGGAGGCAAAATGGCCCAAGAAGACGGTAAAACGGCATAAACATAAACTTGTGGCGCTCCACGCGGATTTCTTGGCTCTGTGCTGGACCCCCCTCCCTGGCGCGCGGAGAGCGCGCCAGGGGCGGCGACGGAGGCGCCGCCAGGGGGGGAGCCGGCGCGGATCCAAGAAATCCGTGCGGAGCGCCACAAGTTTTGGTTTATGGCGTTTTTTCTTCTTCGACCATCGGAGTCCTCAAGATGGCCCCAAGATAGCCTAAGAGAGCCCCAAGAGGGACCCAAGAGGGCTCCAAGACGGCCCAAGACTCGCCTGGCTATCCGTTTCTGGATGGGCCAGTGGGCATATTTTTTTTGGTGCGCGGGCGCGCGAAGCCAAGTCGAACGCCGAGCACGCTCGGACGGGGCGAAAATTGGTGGAGATACTTTTGCTCGCAACCGCAAGCGGGAGAGCCGCGCGGCGCCGTAGAATCGCACGAAGGCCTAAAATACGGCCAGGATCGAGGCCAGGCACGACAGCGGGCGAGCGGCCAAAAACTGCAAGCGAGGCGGCGGGCAGCCAGCCAAGAGTGGCGACCTAAATTATACAAGGACAGAGCCGAGGCCGAGCGCGGGCAGCGAACGGGCAGCGAAAATGGCAGCTACGCGCCTGGCCTCAAACGCCTCACAGAAGCCGGGGACAACCGAGTCCAAGCCCAACTGAGACAGTGGGATACGCGAAGCGTCAATAATTCCTGTCGCAGCCCACGAGAAGTGTCCACCTCACGTCGCAATAACCGATGGCCGAGACAGACGGCGGATTCCGGAAACTCTGAACCCAAAAATGTGGTCATCTCTTGGGGACGCATTTTTTTCCTTCCGCCACCTTCCGCCGCCCTCCGCTGGCTTCCGACGGCGGAGGCGGCCTTGTTTCACTTCCGCCGACCTTCCGCCACCCTTCCGCCGCCTTCCGCCGAGGAGAAGATGACAACTCTTTCGATCCTCGAAGGCAAGGCCCTGTTTGGAACGCCTCATATGGGCAGCCCCCCCGTCGTTTTCGGGATAGATGTCCCCGTCTGCGGACGCGATCCACTTGGTCTCTTCATGTCCTCCCAATACCCCCATCGCCTTCGCTGATGCCACTCGCCTGGGAGCTGGCGCACAAAACGCGCGCCCACCGCGCCGTCGGCTCCCTCGGGCCCTGAGCCGTCATCGCTCATCGACTCGGTCGGCTGTCCGCCGCGTCGGCCAGCGCAATCGCCAAGTCCGACTCCCGCGGCGAGGCCGCAGCCGCTGGCCAGGGCCGCCAGGCCGACCACAGACCACCAATCTGGACGCCCGAAATGAATACGAAAAACATGGGCACGATGCTGACAAACAAATATTGTCCAAAACCGACATGGAACGCAGTCGGTCCTTGTACCCACGAGAGTCGGGGTGGATTGGAGAGAACACGCGAGAGGACACAAGACTCTTTCGTTGGCCACATTGCCAAGTGGAACGTAGAGGGCATGGGTCGCCAAACACAGGACACAAGGGTACCCTTGTTCGGGCAGGGTCGACCTACTAATCAAACTCGACTGCATTCCTGTACCCACTTTGATCGTCCCGAGCCGAGGAGCACACGTGCTGGACCCCGACCGGGGATCTGCCGACACAGGCCAGTCCAGACCTAGGTCAGTCGGGCCTCACAGGATCCTGCGAGATCCTGCAGGACCCTGCAGAATCCTGCACTCACGCCCAGGTCAGTGCAACCCGGGCCCTGCAGGATCCTGCAAGATCCGGCGCTGTGACCGCGGGCCGCAAGAATATACACCACCACCACGTCGATTCCTCCTCCCTCCTCTACCCTCCTATTCCTTTTCTCTTTCCTGGGAGAGGGACGGGGTGAGGGAGGTGCTGGTGGTGTATATGCTTGGGTCCCATAGTGGCTGACCTCCGCTTGCACTGACCCCCGTCTCCCGAGCCCCGACCCGAGGTGTCGGCTCGGCGGCGCCACGCGGGCACGCAAAAAGGGAGGCCTGCGGCGGCGAGCGGGGCATGCTCGCTGGGAGCCGCAGGCACGGGGCTGTACAGTGGAGGCCAGTCCACAAGAAACCCTCCACAAGAAACCCAAGCCTGAGACCCCAAGGACGTCCATCGACTTTTGGTGTGGGAACGTCACGCCTTCCACAGCGAAACCATCGAAAACCCAGAAACCCAGGGCACCCTGGAGGCAAGCAGGGTGTTTCTTGGCATGGGTCTCCACTGTATGCCGCCATGGCAGCGCGAGAGGTAGGCCGCGGTGGCCCTCTCCAGCGAAGCGCGGCCTCGGTGACCCCGGCCCACGAGGGTCCACCCGCCTAGTCCGGAGATGCAGAAGGCTCGGAGTCTGGGTCTGATGAATGAAATCTCGCGTCCAGCTAACTTCACATCGGAGTTGAGCCTGCTGTGTGCGCGCTTTCCCGCCCTGGAGCGGCCCTGCAAGGCCTCGCCAGCTCCGCATCCGCGTGCGTGAAGAGCTCTCGCGGCCCGAAGAGCTTGCGCTCGAATAGAAGGTTGCGGCGAATCTGCAATCTGGTCGTGGGACGCTGGCGCACGCACCGAGGAAGGAGCGACACTGGCCAGCAAAGGAAGGGCGGACAAGGGAAGAAAGACGATTCGAAGAGAGAAGACAAACAACAACAGCAATGGAGAAGATGAAGTCCGCTGCCCTTTGAGAGGGCTACCCCGACATCGCACGGCAAGGCCCACCAAGGCGAACGAATAGCAAACGTCCGGTGTTCTGCTCAAGTAAGCAGCGAACATAAACTACCGATGTAAGTAAATGTTGATCGGTCCCCTTGATCTGTGCCATGGAAAGGCCGTAATTCAGGCCATCAGCCCTCTACCATAATAGTTGCGGTTTCGATGAGCCCTTTTATACTCTCGCAGCTCGATGCTTCTTCGCTGGGCTCGGAAACTTGATCCTAACCTCAAACTGGCGCAAGATATTGACCTGGTCATGATCATTGCCTTGCTTTCTCCCCTCCTCCCTTTGTTGGTCCTCTCCTCTTTCCTACGCACGCTCTGCAATGCGTGGTGCACGCCTGGCCGGTTAGGGGTGGCTCAGCACTGCCGCGCGTGCTGTCCCCCCCGGGGCGATTGTCTAAGGCACAGCGGTGCTTGCCCCACCTTGGATCCTCTTCTTCTCCTCTTTCCCACGCACTGAGGAAACCGGGGGATGAGGATGCGAATGGGGGAGAAAGAAGGGGAGACATATGGGGAGAGGGCAATGGGAGGAGGAAGGGAAGGAGCAGCATAAGGAAGACGAGTCATGGCCAGAGGAAGAGGGCGAGAGAGAGGGTGTTGGGGAGCTAGAGGGGAAGGAGGCGATGGAGGAAGAGGAGAAGGAGAGGAAGGAGCTGCGCGCCTGCGTAGCTCTGTGTAGCCTTCTTGTCCTCCTCCTCCTCCTTGCGAATGTCGGCCATGGACGCGATCGGCATGGCTGCTCGGTTGACGGCCCACGGCCTGGGTTTTATGGGCCCGGGGACGCCAGATGTGCACCGACGCGAGCCCTCGCCAGGCCAATCTGGGGCCCAAGATCGAATACATACGCCCTCCTGGCCAGGCTTGGAGGGCGTTCGGTGGCAACTCATGGGAGCCTCCCATACGTGCCATCTTGTCGGCTCACCGAGAGGGCGTATCCAACCCGTCCTGGGCCCAGGCTTGGCCGGCCCGGTGCCGGTGCCGATCCAACCAGACTTCGGGCGTTATTTGTTTCGCCCCCCCCAATCAAGCTGTACACCATTTGGGCATTAAGCGTCGGCGAGGCCTTACTTAAAGCAGCTCGCGCAAAGACGATCAGGAGGAGAAAGGAGAGCTCGCACTAAACAAAGACCAGACTTCGGGCGTTGTGATTCGTGTGTGTGTGTTGCCACGTAGGCACCCCAGAGCTCTCGACCCATTTCCAGGGGGGCGAGTTCTTCGTCACGGGCCGCCTCTTGATGAGCCGAAGCGAGCCCCCACGTAGATAAATGGTGAGAAAAGGCCGTCGGCATCTTTTTGTCGCGACGCCTGGAGGTCTGGTCAGCTGGCGCCTCCCGAAATGGGAGCGGTGCTCGGGAGCCCTGTGAGAGGCGCGCGCTTGTGCGGTCCCTCGCGAATTGCTTGAGCCAGGGTCTGGCTGCGCGCGGAAACGCAGTGTTATCGAGAGTCGCGCGCAGCGGGCGGAACCTATGAAGGCAGAGACGAGGTCAGTGCTCCAATCTGGTCGCCCTCCGCATCACCCCTCCTCCTCCTTGCTCGCCTTTCCCTCTCCTCTTGATCCATTTGTGTTCCTCCTGCTCCTCCTGCTCCTCCTCCTGCTCCTGCTCCTGCTCCTGGTCCTCCTCCTCCTCCTCCTCCTCCTCCTCCTCCTCCTCCTCCTCCCTCCCTCTACCCCTCCTCGCTTCCTCCCTCATTCACCGCGAGCCGCCTCCCCCTGCCTTCTTCTCCTTACGCATGTCATCAGTCATCCGCCACTGTGCCGCCTGGTACGTGGAGGCGTGATAGAATGCCAAGTGTTGCCTGGCAGAGTCTTACATTCCAATCAGGGACCTCTAGTAGCGCACTCCTTCGGGCATCGCCCCTACTCCCAAGGCCACGATCTCTCGAAGAGAACGATGGGTCCGCGCTCCCGAGGCCACGATCCCTCGTACAAAAACGATGGATCCGCGTCCCGAGCTTCCAAGACGGCTCTGGCAGGGAACGAAGGACATCTGGATGCCCAAGATAGCCCCAAGGCGACCGAATATGGTCTCAAGGTGGCCCAAGATGCCGCCAAGAGGGCCCTAAAGGACCACAAGAGGATCTCCAACAGGGTCCGAAGAAGCCAAACTCATTGATTTCTTTTCTCCCAGACATCCTGTAGTGTTGGGTCCTCGATTTGAAAAGACAGCGCCCGTCGTCCTCCTCCCGCTGTCCTCCAGCGCACCGCTCAGGAGGACCTTGGCCCCATAGGGAGCTCCACCGAAGGCCCCAGCGGTAGCGTCCGCATGCGCCCCCCGCACATTCCGGCACACCCCTCACAAAGATCGTGGCCTCATAAGGAAATCCACCAAAGGCCTTTGCCGCAGGGTCCGCATGCGTCCCCCCGATGATTTCGGCACACCCCTCACCAGGGCCGTGGCCCCTATAGGGGGGCGCCACCGAAAGCGCCTGCCATCCTCCAGCCCATGTCGGCACACCCCTCACGAGGACCGTGGCTCCATGTCGCCCCTATAGGGAGCTACACCGAAGGCCTCAAGTGGCAGGGTCCGTATGCTCGTCGCTCCAAAGGGAGCTCCATCGAAGGCCCTAGTGGTAAAATCCGCACGCGTCCCCCACCCATTTCGGAACACCCCTCACAAGGATCGTAGCCTCAAAGGGAGGTCCACATAACGCTTCGGCGGCAGGGTCCGCATGCGACCCTGCGCCCTTCGGCGCACCCATCACGAGAGGCTTCAGTAGCAGGGTCCGCATGCGTCCCCCAGTCTATGGCGGCGCACCCCTCACGGGGATCGTGGCCCTATAGGGAGCACTCGCAACTGCACATTGTTGAGTTTTCGTTGAGATAATGCTGTTCGTAATTTCCACATTCTCGCCTTTTCGGGCATCCGTGGGCTCAAGACAGCCCAGGAAGCCTCCAAGATGGCCCCAATATGTCCCTAGCAAGGGTACCCCACGATGACCGAAGAGGCATCCAAGACGGCCCCAAGACAGCCCAAGAGGGCCTCCCGTGAGACCCAAGACTGCCTTTATAAGCCTTGCAACCCCTCAGTGCCCCAACGGGGCCAACACTCAAGAGCACCGTGGTGGGCCCGAACGCGTCAACTTCATTATGCACGATATTTGTTGTTATTTGTTGTGGTGCCCGGGACAAGGCGCCCCTCCATTTTGGGCTCGCAGTGTCTGCGCACACCACACCAAGATATCCTGACAAAGGACCCACATATTTGCAGCTGCGACTATCGCGCGCACGTGAGAGCCTTCGGCCGCTGGGGCTTTCGGTGGAGCTCCGTATGGAGCCACGAAGCATGTGAGAGATGTGCCGAATTGCGTGCGGGTGCGTTATGCGGACCCCACCGCTGGGGCCGTCGGTGGAACTCCATAAGGGGGCCACGGAACGTGTGAGGGGTGTGCCAACTTGCGCGCGCCATGCGGACGCTGCTGCTGCTGGGACCTTCGGTGGAGCTCCTTATGGGGACACGCAGCGTGTGAAGGGGTATGCCGAATTGGGTGCGGGTGCGCCATGCGGACGCTGCCGTTGGGGCCCCCCTCTGAGGCCACGGAACCTGTGAAAGGTGTCCGATGGTGTCCAGATTGGGTGCGGGTGCGCCATGCGGACGCTGCCGCTGGGGCCTTCGGTGGAGCTCCCTTGTGGGGCCACGAAACGTGTGAGGGGTGTGCCGAATTGGGTGCGGGTACGCCATGCCGCTGGGGCCTTCGGTGGAGCTCCTTATGGGGGCACGAAATGCGTGAGGGGTGTGCCGACACGGGCATGCGGAGAGGAAAGGCAAGCATGGGAGGAGGGATGAGCCGGAGGAGGGGCAGCGGGAGGAGAAGTGAAGCGCGGCGCTGTCTCTTCAAACAAGGGGCCAACACCACGGGATGGTTGGGAAAAACTTGAGTGCACAAGACTACAACTTTGGCAGCTACGAGGGTCGTGCTACGAGCGCCACAGCAATGCATAGGAGCAACAGAATACCACTGCGTCCCTGAGAGCACCACAAGCGTGTGAGCGCCGCGCTGCCTCGCAAATGCCAGAATTTCTGTCAGCACCACAGCATGCCTGTTAACACCACGGTCGCCTGCGAGCGCTAGCCGTGACGTGATCTGGAGGGGGGAAGGGGGCCAGAGCCGATCACGCCCGTTTTCGCCAGGATGATCTCACACGGAAAACACAAACTCTGGAAGAAGTCCCTTCGACGGCCCACGACGGCGCCAAGACCGCTCCACGACGGCCCCCAGACACCCGCTCCACTGCCACGAGGGCCCAAGACGGCCCAAGAGAGCCCAAAGACGGCGTCAGAGGGCCCCAAGACGGCCCAGCAGGGCCCCAAGGGAGCCCCAAGACGGCCTCACAGGAGGCCAATACTGCAAAACGAGCCAACGAGACCTCATCACATAGTGGAGACGAGTTATGACACATGTGACGGCCTGCCTGTTCCTCCTCCTCCTCCTTCTTATCATCATCATCATCATCATCATCATCATCATCATCATCATCATCATCATCATCATCATCATCATCATCATCATCATCATCACCACGAACATTATCATCACCACCACGATCACCATCACCATCATCATCATCATCATCATCATCATCATCATCATCATCATAACCATCGTCATCACCACCATCATCATCATCATCCTCATCCTCATCCTCATCCTCATCCTCATCCTCATCTCCATCATTAGGATCAGCATCAGCATCAGCATCAGCATCAGCATCATCAGTATCATCATCATAATCACCATCGCCATCACTATCACCATCACCATCACCATCATCATAACCATCATCATCACCACTATCATCCTCATCCTCATCCTCATCCTCATCCTCATCAGTAGCATCAACATCAGCATCAGCTCCAGCGTCAGCATAATCAGCATCATACCCAGCACCCCAATCATCCTCAACATCCTCATCACGGCTCCCCCAAGCCTGGAGACACGAGGTGTAACACGTGACGGCCTCCGTTACCCCCTCGAACAGTCGCCACCCAGGCAGCTGGATATGCCTCAGGCGCGGTGGCGAGGCTTGCCGCAGACAGCTGGATACTCTGGATTCCCCAAACAGTGCTTGCACTCATGGGTTTCCTACTTGTGCTCTAAGAAACTGAGCTGTGGTGCCGGGCGGCTATGTGCTCGCCGTCAGTGCCCCGTCGCCGCCTCGACGCCGCCCATCGTCTGGGAAGTGTGGCCAGTCTGGCGGCTATGTACTCGCCGTCGCCGTCCCGTCGCCGCCTCGTCGCGGCCGCTGGATTGCACCACATAGACTGCACGATTAAAAAAGATTGCCTGCGGCGTGCTCTTTCATCGCTCACCACATATGTTGCAATATATGTGAATACCAATGTACATATACAGACATAAACAGATGTGCATATATAACTGTATGCAAACATACATATGTGTACATACATCTATATATATATGTATCAGCCAAGATTGCGCCACGAGTGTTGCACATCATATGTTGCAATACCACACGTATTGCACCACCTAGGCTGCACTACATCTATTGCACAACATGGATTGCACTACATAGATTTCGCAGCATAGCTTGCACCACATTGAGTGCATAACATCTCTTGCGCAATACAGATTGCACGGTACATGTTGAACCACATATCTTGCGCCACGCAGATTGCTCCACAAACATTACACAGTACTGATTGCACAACGTATGTTGCACAGCATAAACTGCCCAACAATACTTGCATCACACATGCTATACCACATAAGTTGCGCCGCGCCAATTGCATCACAAATATTGTTCCGCACAGATTGCCCCACATTGCTGCTCATAGGTGCATTTTTTCGCGTTTGCAACACGTTTTTTGGTCGCGGTTTCTAGCCGCGCACTACATACACTGCCATACATCGATTGCACAACATATATTGCAGAACATCGATGGTGCACCATATGTCGCACAACATAGATCTATGGTGTCACACAAAATGCACCGCCCATGTTGCACCACATAGATTGTCCCGTATAGGTTGCACAACATGTGTTGCACAACATATGTTGCACCACGTAAATTCTCGTTTCCAAAAAGAAATGACTCTACCCCCCACGACTTTCGACACCCTTATCCGTATTGCAATGTACATATGGTTCGCCCCATCGTCCATCCTGAATATGAACTCGTACCATCCCAGCCAAGCAAACATCGGCCCCCACCGGCACCCTCTGCAAAAAAATACTATGCGCGCGAACTTGTTCATCAAAACCACAAATTATCAAAAACCTCTTGCAAAAAACGGACGGAACGCGCGCGTCGTCGCGCGCGCCGATATCCTTCAAAAACCTTAAGTTTCGTTAGGATTTCAAGATCGAGTGCCCCAAAATAGTATAAAAACACATGATTTCGCAACACACGGATGTTCGAAACAAACGTACGTGCGCGTTGTTGTGTTTTTTTG